CTTAAAAGTTTCTGCTATTTGGTATCCTGACAAAAAAATGTCGGGTTAGAAAGAAAGAAGTCATGGCCAGTGAAACACAGATGGACCAGGGTGGAAGAGCAAATTCCCTGACTGCAAGGCCTTGCTGCTCCAAGGTGTCCACGGACCAGCAGCCTGGGCATCACCCGGGAGTCCCATCCCAGACTTGCACTTTCACCAGATCCCTAGATGATCCAAATACACATTAAAGTCTATGCAGTGCTACTTTTAGGTATGGCTCTTCAAAAAGTCCTCCCCGTCTCCCTCCTGCTCCTCCACTCCTCTGTCCTCCATCCTAAATGCTGCTATCTTATTCTGACTTTTCTTGAAATTCAAAGCCATGGTAGGGTGGGGATGGTATTATATTTTAAAAGGGGACTCAAAAGGAGGACTTATTTTTTTAGAAAAATAAAATATAGCCAATTCGAAAGGACTTTTGCAGCTCCAATGTCATGTTGTTAATGTAGAAATACAAACATCTACTATGTTTATATTGGCTTGCTTGTAAAATCATCATCTTTGGTTATATTTAGGAACTTGATGGCTTGGAAAGTATACTGAAAAAGTCTGAGAACAAAAATATTTTTCCCCTTAACTCTCTGGAAAAAAACCTCTTTAAAAAAATCCTCAAACATCTTTTTCCTACTTTCTTAACCCCATCCACCAGTACGCATTTTTTCCTCTTACCTTTCTCCCAGTTCAATTCCCTCATTTTGTTTACATTTTAAAAAATGTATAGAATTCTCTTATTACATACTTATTCCTTAGGAAAGAATTAGGGTATACAGAAGCAAAACACCACCAGAATCCCATTGATAGAGAAACAACTATAAACCTTTTATAAAAAAAAATAATCTCATACTTTTTTGTGTATGTATTTGTTAACAAAAGTGGGATAATTCAGAACATCATAATTTGTATATAGTTCCTTTTAAATGGAACTATAAATTACTAACCTATTTACATCTGCAAACATAAAAATGTACATTTATTAAATTCTGCCATGTGATTATGCCATGATTGATTTAATGATATTTCTATTGCTATTAGGTAGTTCAACTTTTCACTACTAAAAATAGTAAAGCGCAACCTTGATGATTTTCTTACCTTAAAAAATTCTTTCATTAAATCATAAATGCACTATCACACTTGTGAGAAAAATTTAAATACAGAGAACACTAAATTTCTTTGACCATCATTTCCAGTTCTGGTTCCCATCCCACCTTCTTAGAGGTAATAACTGTTACCAGATTTGTATATATTTTTGTACATATTCTCCCAGACCACTTTTCATGCATTTAGTGCATATATATAGCTATAAGAAATAAACTACTATTTCAGGTTGTTGGTTCATTGGTGGTTATTCTTCACACCAGTGGTATAATACAAGACTTATCATTCTTCAAACTGCCTTTCTCACTTAATCAATTCTGGAGTGCTTTCTACATTAATACTTACAGATCTACTTATTTTAGCTGTTGTCTAGTGTTTTGTCCTGAACAGAACATGGTTTATTAGCATGTGTTGGATGAACTGATTTTAGGCTATTTCTACTTTTTGTCTCTTCCATAAAATATGCTTATACATGCTTCTTTGTGTACACTTGGGGGTGTTTCTTTAGGGTAGATTCAGAGAGGTGGCATTGTTGAATCTTAGGATCACTGACTTCTTTCTATGTGTGAATGAGAAGAAAAACTCTTTTGAAGATCCTGCAGGGAAAAGCATAGTTCTTAAAAGTCTGAAAAATGATTTTTGTTTTCCCCTAGCTTTGTTTTTGGCTTCCAATATTATCTTGAGGTTTCTTAGCTAGGATGGATGGATGCGTCTGAACAAGAGAAAGGGCATACCAGGCCTTTGGGGAAAAATAAGAAGCAGGTTTGGCTGAGTTTAAGATGTTGCCTTACAGGAAGGAAGAATGTCTGTGGGGCACAGCAGATGGGGAGTCCTCTCCCACTTCTCTTGTTCCAGCTGCCCCACTCCCACCGCAGCCCACCCAAATGTCAACCCAACTTTTGATGAGTGCACATGGATACAGAGCATAGCATTAGGTATTATAAGGATTTCAGTAGATGACATTCAGTAGATGACAGTAGATGACTTGTGAAGGCGAGCAAACATCCATTCATGGGAAGATGTATTAACACTTACAAGCCAGACACTGTACTACCAAGTAAAACTTATTGTCAAGCAAACTGAGTACAACCACCATTACTCCTGAGTGAACAATAAGTCCTTTGTACCTTTCACCTGGATTATTGCCCCAGGTTTTCACTTGGTCTGTTTACCTACAATCTCTCCCTTTCAACCCATCTAGCTGATTGCTGATAAAGTAATCTGAAAAAGTCACTTTTATGGTATCTGTGATCTTATTCATTCCCTTCTCCTCTTATTGTCGGGTAGGCTTCCTTTCATCCTTTACGACTCAGCTCAATAATGTTATCGTAGTAGGGGCGCCCGGGTGGCTCAGTCAGTTGAGTGTCCAGAGTCTTGATTTCTGCTCGGGCCATTGTGTCAAGGTTGTGAGATCTAGCCCTGTGTTAGGCTCTGCACTCTGCACAGAGTCTGCTTGAGATTCTCCTCTCTCTCTCTGCCTTCCCCTCTGCTCACATTCTCTCTCCAAATAAATAAATAAAATCTAAAAAAAACCAGGGTCATGGTAGTAATCATTTGCAATATGGAAGTGTATCAAATCAACACATAGTAGATCTTAAATTCACAGTGTTATATGCCAATCACATATCATTAAAGTTGGGAGGTAAAGACAGCTCAAACTTTTCATTCAATTACTTAACATGTATTAAGCTCATACTATGTGCATATCACCTCTACTGAAAATTTCCCCTGACTCTAGGCTCTGTAAATAACTCTATCTCTGCTGCTTCTCTTGTAGTAGATCCTACTTTATTGTCATTACTTTTTATGTATGTATGTATGTATGTATTTTCTTCCATCCCTTTTTATTTTGTTTAAATATTTTTAAATTGGAGTATAGTTGATACACAATGTAGTTTCAGGTGTACAACAAAGTGATTACTTATTTTTTTTTTTTTTCTGGCCTATGTCCACTCCAAACTGTGAGTTCTTAAAGTACAGAGTCTGTATCTTTTCCACCTCTGAACCCCCAGGACCTAATATTATGCTGGGCATATGGCTGATGCTTAATAAATATTTGTTCAACAAAAACAATGAATAGGGGCACCTGGGTAGCTCACTCATTAAGCATCTGCCTTCAGCTCAGGTCATGATCCCAGGGTCCTGGGATAGAGCACCGCATCAGGCTCCCTGCTCAGTGGGAAGCCTGCTCCTCCCTCTCCCACTCCCCCTGCTTATGTTCCCTCTCTCTTTGTCTCTCTCTGTTAAATAAATAAATAAAATCTTTAAGAAACACATACACACAATGAATAAATGAGCTTCCCAGAAGTGTGTACCCTGGTTCTCAAAGTACTTTAAAGATCTACAAGATAACTTTTGCTTAGAGAGGAAACTGTGTTAGGTAGCAAGAGCAGAGATAGGCTTTGCAGTGACTTGTCCTGGATCCTGAAAGTAGTAGAGGGAGGGGCTACTTGCCCCAGTCTAAATCTTTTCATTTTATTTTTCAAATGCACAGTCTATATCACTGTTGCAATATAAGGGGTGTGAAAGAGGTGTTTATTTTTAAAAAAGAAAAGAAAGCTTTTAAAAAGATGCAACTTTCCCTAGTTTAGAACTGGACTTTTTAAACCTCTCGCCTAATGCTGCCCCTTGCTTAAAGCCCTTCCGTGACTTCTCATGGGTTAAAGTTCAATAATTTTAGCTTGTCTCGTGAGGCTCCACATGGCCTGGAGATTGCCTATTTCTCCAGCATTTGTTCACATCGTTCTTCCTGAAGCTCCTTACACTCCAGCCACAGAAGTCATTTCTTTGATCTTCAAGGCCACCAAGCTTCTTCATCGGTGATGCCCTTCATGCCTGGAATACTCTCTGCTACAAACCACACCTGTACCCCCTCTCCCCATGCCCCCCCAACTTCACTGACTGCCACTCATCCTTCAGGTCTCAGCTTAGTGGTCACTGCCTGGGGAGGCCTGCTCCCCGCCACAGCGGAGGCTAGCTCACCCTACGGTATGTCTACAGAGCATTCTGTCTTTTCCCTTTACAACACTTACGATTCTTGTAACTTCATCATCAAGTTATGTAATCACCGCACATTTGTTTTTTCACCGCCCCCCCTTCCCGGTCCATGAGGATGGGATCTGCATTTGTTTTGTTCACTACTTTATTGAAAGGGCTTTACCTACATTACTTCATCTAGTTTCACAATCCTGTGAGACAGACATCCTCATCCCTTATCTGACAGAAGAGGAAACTTAAGGCTCAGAGAGATGTGTGGTAGAGTCAAGATTTGACCTCAGTTCCATCTGTATTACTGAAGAGTTAAAAGGGCTAGAAGTTCATTTATTTGGGATTTGGATTCTCAAGACTAGAATTTAATAAGATAATAATTCTGGGTGTGCCTCTAAATCTGTATAATAGAGATATTATTACTTTACCTTATCTACCTCACAATTTTCCTTAGGATCAAATACAATAATATATTTGGCATGCCTGTTAGCCATAATACAAGCTAGGAATATAAACGAAATACATAGTATTTTTCATCAGACTCAAGTCTATAACGGCTGCTGCTTATCTGGTCTGCGCATTCTGGGCATCAGTTTCTTCAGAAAGATTGACAGTTTGAAGACGAAGAGTCCAGATATCCCTGTACATTATCTAGAGCAGGTTGTTAGCCCAGACTTCTGCTGACAGCTAAAAGATTAGTTGAGGGGTGCCTGCGTGGCTCAGTGGGTTAAGCCTCTGCCTTCGGCTCAGGTCATGATCTCGGGGTCCTGGGCTCTCTGCTCAGCAGGGAGCCTCCTTCCTCCTCCCTCTGCCTGTCTCTCTCTCTACTGGTGATCTCTCTCTCTCTCTCAAATAAATAAATAAAATCTTTTAAAAACAAAAGATTAGCTGAGAACGATAGTGTTCATCTTACAGGATGAGAACTATACATTTAGCTTTTACATAAATAAAAATAAAGCAATAAATAAAACACAGAACGTGTTTAGAATTTAGTGTCCAGTATGGACCTCCAAGAACAGATTGAATGGTTAGGCAAGTGCGGTTAATGATTAGCATGAGTGGTTAAGAGCTTAGACTTTGGAGTCAGAGAGACCTCAATTCAATTCCCTCGGGTCTCTGTTTACCAACAAGGAGGCCTTGGGCGAGTCACTTAACTCCTTGAAGCTTCATGTCTACACTTTTAAATGTTACCACCCCTCAGCCTGTTGTAAGGATTAAAACAAATAATTTAAGGAAGCACCGGGAATACAGGAAATGCTGCACACATGTGGAGAGTTGTTATTGCCATGTTGGTCTTTGTTTCCTGGCTTGCTGATCCCTCCACACCTATATGTTCCATGTTGCTTTCATTCCAACTGGAATGATGACTCTCAGGTGTCAGAGTCTTAAGAACTAAGGCCAAGAACTCTGTCTCTTAATCTGCAACTGCTCCAAGCGAGGCCAACCTTGCATGAAGGGGAGAGGTTTCCTCTCATGTGCTGTGTGCAGTGAGTCCCACCAGCTTCTCAGGAGTCTGGGGAAGCTTCGGTGTTCGTGCAGAGCACCAAGTTCTTCCATCCATGTTCAAACAAAGGCATGTCTCTGCTCAGCTACTTTCAAGAGTCAGGGTAAGGATGGGAGGATTTTATTCTCTCTGGCTTTGGACAGCCAAAGGACTTGCAATTTGGAGCTGCAATAAAAAAGGGGTTTCGCTGTTTGGTTACTCTATGGCTAAGATCAGATAGGCACAAGAAGATGCTTTGATTCCTTATTAATTTTAAAATGGAAGCCTTTCTATAATTCCGAAGCAGGAGTCAGAAATTCTAGTGGTAGCATTGTATTTTGGTTCGTGTATGTGTGTTTTCACTTAAAATGTACTTAACAGAGAAGTACTATGTTCTATTCTTTGGGGAGGAACACAAAGATCAGTAAGTTCTCTTTCCCTCACAGGAACTGAAATCCTATGTAGGATATAGACTAGGACACAGACGATGGGAGGGAGTGAACATACAGGCAAGGAAGGATGCTCTGAGCATGGTCTCCTCGATTCTGGATTGGATTTGAGTGTTTGGGGTGGTGGGTAAGGGAGTAAAGAGAAATAGACACCCAGTGGTGCCCGAATCCTGGCATTTATATTTATTAGTTAAATTAACCTGAGCAAGCCATTTACCCTCTCTGAACACGTTTTTTTTTTTTTTTTTCATGTGAAAGCAGAGAATATGCTTACCTCCAAAGATTGCTATGAGGATTAACTGAGATAAAGTACATGTCAGGCATGATGCTGGACAAACTGTAGCCAACAATTACTAGCCAATATAAATATAAGTGTGATTAATATACCATGACATAGTATTTAAAAATCGTGTCAGCATATAGGGTCAGTGGGGGAGGCTTGACGAAAGAGATCTTAACTGTCATTTCAGCAGCATGGTACAGACGCGGAGCACTTCTCAGATAAGCAAATGTGAAATCCCCCTTGCTAAATATTTGCCACTCTTCTGACACAGAGGATGACATCCTGTGGTCACTCCCCTCCCCTAGTGAGATATTAGCTGGTGGTTTCATGCTCACCCCACCCACGACGGTGGATTATCTGCCGGTAACAGACAACCAGGAAGATCAGTGGTTTACAATGAGCAGAGACCGGGGGTTTTACAGTAAATAACTCTTCCATTTCTATCAGTTTCTTGACCGAATGCTGAACAAATTACGATATAAAATGATAAGGAAGCCAAGACACAGCTTTCGGAAAAGCTGAAAGCCTCTTTGATGTTGGAAGCACATCCTGTCATGTAGAGTACACTAAATGAGATGATGGCTGAAGACGACTTTACGAACAGGATAATTGGTGCAGCAGACAGATGGAAGGAGGAAGGGGGCCTGGCACCGTACCTACAAGTGCAAGAGCACCTTCCTTGATGAAGCTGCTGTTCTGCACTCTAGAATCCCTCATTCCATTCGCTCAATCTAAGCAAGTAAGCCTGATTTGAATAAATGCTAATTCAGCTCATTTATTATAAAACTCCTTGATTTAAGGGAAACACATGGTTTCTAGCAGGAGAAAATCACAATCTGTGATATAATGGTTATTACTCATAATAAATGCCACTGTGGTCTCTGCTCTGTTTTCAAAAGCATTAGTCTCATAAGGACATTGTAACATCCAAAAGTTTATTGGCATTAATGTGGTTGGATCTATGTTTATTATGATGCTAATCAAAATAGGGGGCACCATCTTGGAGCTTCCAGTTCAGGTCACTGGGAGGGAGAATTCAAACAGGCTTCAGGGAGAGTTTGAGCGGGGCTTCAGTTCAAACCGTGTGACCCTTGGAGAACCTCTCATTGTCAATCTCTAGGCTATAAATTCCATATAGGTAGAAGTCTTTCCTATCACTTTAGGGCTGTGCTAAACCCAAAGTTCAGCAGAACATCTAGTACATGATGGGTGGGGTATCAATATTTGTTGAAATATTTAATTCCACCTTCATTACCTCTTTTAACACAACAACCCTGACAGCTCAATATAATTAGCTTTAGTTTGCAAATAATAAAGTTGACCTGCTTGTTTCAAAGCTATCTACAGAGTTATGCATGTGATGGGATGTTGCAGGTATGGGAGAAATTGCTCTATGGCCACATGATCTCTGAGCTTAACATGGGAGAATCAAGGAGAATAATATTGTTTATGTAAAGATGCTTTTCATGCTTTTGCAGAGTGGAAAGAAGTAGCTCTGTTGGCCATTTGACTAGAGAAGGAGCTTGAAACCATATTTATGGGGACAGGTGGAAACAAGTGGAGATGTTTGGTTTGGAGAAGAAAATGCCTCGGGACATAGTAACAACCATGCTTTCGCATCCAGGGCTCACTCAGAGCAGAAGAGACTGTCTTGACTATATTGGTCTAAAGGCCAGAACACAGTGCAAGCTTTAGGGAAACCAATTTTGGTTTGACATAGGAGAGAACACTGTAACCCCTTCTGCTATTCAGAAATTGAATAGATCACCTTGGAAGCAGTAAATCCCATTATTGGCAATGTCCAAAGTGGGACCACATGATCACTTGACAGGAATATTGTAAAAGGGCTTTAAATATTGGCTAAGGGGAGAAAGGTACTAGGCTGAGTATTTCCTTTTCGTCTCCTAGAATCTATGATTCTGTAATCCTATACTTGAAATTTGTAAAAATGGTATCCAGTCAAGAATATATTTAAAAGGAAACTAGGTAATAGCTTAGTTCAGATTCCATTAGCCTATGAGGTCCCCTAATGTAGGATATCTCTCTATGTGATGCAGCATTGTGTTCCCAGCACCAGCATGGTGTCTCCACATAGTACACCGTGGGTCACATGTGTTAAATGAATCAGTTGGAATCCTGGGTAAACTGGGAACCTATCATGCTCTGAGCATTGACTTCCCAAGAAGTTATGGAGTGTAACAGGCATGAAAGCTCAGCCAGATCAACAGTCCTGTCCTCCTTTCCTATCTACATTGTAAGTTTGATCTAGAGGGAAACATTTCCAGTTATTTGTGTTGTAAATATCATACTTACATGGAATCTTTTCCTCGGAAGAAGTGTGTATTTGCTGTTGCTCTCACGAGCTTGGAAGTTATTTGTGAGGAGACCATGCAGAAGCCAACTTGTGGGATGCTGGAATGAGAGGACTGGCAGGGGTCTGAGAGATCCCCTACTTTATCTGCAGCTGAGAGTATGCTAGAGTGATGGGGCCATAAATTAACGGGCTGAAAACCATAATCCAATATGGGGAGTCATCCCCGGAGGTGACACTGGAGAAACCCCAGAGGGAGACAATGGTTTCATCTAGTCCACCGGTCAGGAACTCAATGCAATATAGTTGACCCTTGAACAACACAGGTTTGAGCCACCTGGGTCTACTTATATGCAGCTTTATTTTCAATTCATGCAGTATAGTACTGTGAATGTATTTTCTCTTGTTAGTGATTTGTTTTTGTTCTTAGTGATTTTCTTTAATAACATTTTCTTTTCTCTATTTCGCTTCATTGTAAGAATACAGTTATAACACATATACGAAATGACTGTCTATCTTACCAGCAAGGCTTGTAGGCTACTGGGAGTTAAGTTTGGGAGGATTCAAAAGTTATATGCAAATTTTCAACTGTAAGCCTTGTGTTGTTCAAGGGTTAACTGCATAGTGAATGAATGAACAAATGGTGTCCAGGAGCAATGTTGAACTTCGGACCAGAAGGCCTGAATTCTCCTCTGGAGCTACTGTCACTGACTGCCTTGTGACCCTTACATGTTCCTTATCCTCTCTGTAGACGTCATCTGGGGCTATAGGCATTCAGACAACTGTCCTATTTGGAGGATACCAGTTATAGTGGAAGGAGGGCACGGCTGTCTCGAGTGTCGGTAACAGTGGAAATGGAGAGAAGCAGATGACTCTGAGGGCCATTTAAAGCAGTAGAGTAAGTAGGTCTGCATGTATATTTGGACGTGGGGCGTGAATGGGGGGGAAGTGGTCAAAGATGACTCCTAGATTTCTAACCTAAGCCGCTGGGTGGATGACAGCAATATTTGCTGAAATAGGAACAAGCAAGCAGGTGCGGGTTTCAGAGGAAGCTGATGGACCACACCTTGTGCTCCCAGAAGCCCACACACTCAGAAAGATCCTGGCCCTTTGGCTCTTCTCTTACGTCTTTGTATGAGAAAAGGCCCACAGCATGAGAGGGTTGGTAGACCAGGTAGCTTCAGATGTGACAGATACTCTCGTTATGCCTCCTGATGCGAGAATGCTTCAGGGTCTGGTATAACTCAGCTTTAAATCCCTACATTCAACTTTTCTTATTGCTAACACAGCTCTGGAAGGCAAATATGGAGATCTGGGACCCACAAATCTAAAATTACAAAGAAAAGAAGAGAACGAGGGGACATTTCAAGATTAGAAGCTGGTTTTCTGCCAGAACCTTGCTTTATTTAATACACTTGCCCACACTCTCCTTGGTTTCCAAAGACCCACTGCAGGTTTGACTCCTGAAGCCTATGTCAGTGCCTCTAGGCTTCGGTGCTGAATAAATGAAACTAGTAAGATTAAAAAAAAAAAAAAAGTGGAGCTCCCTGAGGCCTGGCAGTGTCAGGACGGGGACCGATGAGTAATGGCGAGAACAGAATTCCCATGGCACTGAGTTACCACTGACTTCAGCTTTTTTTACTTACCATTTAAGTACTTGGGTACGCTGAGCTGACCTCCTTAAAGCCATGTTCAGTACAGAGAATAACTGACATCCCATAGCATCTTCTGAATATTGCGGGGTGGAGAAGACGCATTTTTATATATAGCAGAAAGGGAAATGGAAAAAGCAAAGAGAGCAAAGGTGAAAATATGAGAAATTATGTCTGTCACTTTAAAAAAAAGATTAAGTTTTATGTCTGTGTTTCTAATTACAAAAGCAGTATATGTTTGTAGTAGAAAATTTAAGAAATACAGAAAAGCACAATAAAATCTTCAGCTGTAATGTCACTAAATGCTCTTGCCATTTGATAAATATTTACTGAATGCTGACTAGCTGAGGCACAATTTAAGGTCCACAAGAACATTGAGACTTGAGCAATATTATCACTCCCTTTTTTTTTTTTAAATATTTTATTTATTTATTTGACAGAGAGAGAGATCACAAGTAGGCAGAGAGGCAGGCAGAGAGAGAGGGGGAAGCAGGCTCCCTGATGAGCTGAGAGCCCAATGCGGGGCTTGATCCCAGGACCCTGAGATCATGACCTGAGCCAAAGGCAGAGGCTTAACCCACTGAGCCACCCGGGCACCCCTTATCACTCTCTTTTAATCCATGAAGGAACTGACGTTCAGAGGTTGATATTCACCTGAGGACACACAGCTGGCAAGTGGTACAGCCTAGATTTGAACCTGACTCTGTATCCCAGTCTTCTCACAATACTTTGTCTTGATCCATGGAAAATACGAGAGGTGATGTCACTTGGTCAAATAATCCCAAATTTCAAATGGGAAGTACTCCACAGCAGAAAGATATCACATGATATTTAAAAAACGTGTCTTGCCTTTCCTCAGCTACACTAAGGTGCTTGGTTCTTCCGGGGAAGCTGAGGCCACGCTGGGGTGAGGCCCTCACTTCATCTGGCGACTACACTGTGCCCAGCCACACCCGCTTAGCACTTGCCCACCCTTCTCGGAGCTCGCCTGCATCTATGTGGCCCTGAGCCTGCTCCAGGAGGAGGTGACAGTCACGGAAGATAAGATCAATGCCCTCAATAAAGCAGCGGGTGTAAGTGTTGAACATTTCCGGCTTGTTTGCAAAGGCCAGTGTCAACATCAGGATCCCGATCTGCAATGGAGGGGCTGCTGGATCTGCCCCAGCAACTGGTCCTGCCCCCTCAGCAGCACAGCCAGCCCAGCTGAGAAGGAGGTGGGAACAAAGAAGAATGAGAGGAGTCTGATGAAGACATGGGTTTTGGTCTTTCCTGCTAAACCTCTTCTGTAACCTGTTCAATAAAAAGCTGAACTCTTAAAAAAAAATGTGTCTTGTCTTTCAAGTCTTGTCACACTTCCTGCAATTTTGTAAACTCATCCATTGCAAAAGTGATGTTTTGATTCTTTGCCCTTTCTGACAACCAGAACAGAAAGCAACTCTCTTTCCATTACTTGGCCTGAGGCTTCCTTCTGCTTCTGCCCAAGGCAGGTTGTGGTTAACACTCACTGCTTAACCTCTTCATCCTCTAAAGAAGTCCCTTTTTGAAGTAGAATCTTTTTTTTTTTTTTAAACCATTTTGATACCTTGGACAATCCTAAATATCAAGCCAATCACTTAAAAAAAAAAAAAAAAGAAAAGAAAAAGTAATGTGTGTCACAACCTTACCCCGTTTCTAGGCTTCATTGTCTCTTACCAAATCTCTCACTTCCCAGCCTTGAATCCCCAATCTGACTCTCACTTCATCCAGATATTAGAATGACTTTCTACTGCTACAGAGTACTTGATTTTTTAAGTTGAAAGTTTAATGCTTTATTCTTCGTAGAAATGAATTAAGTGTGAATGTCAAAAAAAGCACTAGCATCAAAACAACCATAACAGGGGCACCTGGGTGGCTCAGTGGGTTAAAGCCTCTGCCTTGGGCTCAGGTCATGATCTCAGGGTCCTGGGATTGAGCCTTGCATGCGCTTTCTGTTCAGCAGGGAGCCTGCTTCCTCCTCTCTCTCTGCCTACTGCTCTGCCTACTTGTGATCTCTGTGTGTGAAATAAATTTAAAAAAAAGTCTATTAAAAAAAAAAAGCATAACAAAACACTGTATTCCCAGTACCCAATCCTGACTACCTAGCTTGGTCCCCAGCCAGTCATGTACTGTCAGCTTTAGACATTCCCTGTGCATCCACCACTATTAGCTGGCCCGGTATCTTCTGGAGAACTCTCCAGTGGTTCTTAATCTAGGGTTGTCATTCACAGTGGGAGCTTTGGAACCAAGCTGCCCCAATTCAAATCTCACCATTACCACTCCCTGGGTGGCCTTGGGCAAGCTATTTAACTTCCCTGTGCCTCAGTTTCCTTGTTTGTTAAAGTGGGGAAAAGAATGATACCTATTTTATAAGGTTGTTGTGAGATCAAATACTTGTTTTTTTTTTAAAGATTTTATTTACTTATTTGACAGACAGATCACAAATAGGCAGAGCAGCAGGCAGAGAGAGAGGGGGAAGCAGGCTCCCTGCTGAGAAGAGAGCTTGATGTGGGGCTCAATCCTAGGACCCGAAGATCATGACTTGAGCCTAAGGCAGAGGCTTAACCCTCTGAGCTACCCAGGCACCCCAAGATCAAATACTTGTAAGGCTAATGCTTGTAAAGGACTTAAGACATGGCCTGGCATATTGTAAGCATGTAGTAAACCTAACCTAATAAGACAAACGGAGTTGTCTGTCCATCTTCTCACCCCAAGGGCCAGTAGTAAGGATCTATTTCTTAAAAAATAATATAAAATTTAAGTGGTTTTTCCTGTTGTATTTATTGGCATTGCTGAGTAATTTTTTAAAAATTGCACATGCACAATAGTTTGCCTACAATTATATATTGAATAGACTTTTGTGGGCTTGCCTAGAAATCTTAATAACCACTTACAATACTGTGTGTGTGTGTGCGCGCGCATGTACACATTTATCTCTCTATTTACATGCATACACACACATTCTTTTGCAGTAGATTTTTGGACAACAGCTTTTATATAACATATCCAGTTGATTTTATACATTTATTTTTCTTGAATAGATTTTTCATTTCCAAAGATTGGCTGGTAAAGCACTGGCAAGACTCAACATGGTCTTGAACAGCATGCCAAAGACTTTGTATTTTATTCCCTATATGACGAGGAGCCGCCCATGGCTTCATAGGAAGACAGCATCACAGTCTAACATGATTTAGGGAGCAGTGCAAAGGCTTCTCTGATTAGGAGACCAGGGAGGTCAGTTAAGAGGCTGAATGAGAGCCTCGATTAAGGTGGCAGATGAGAGGAGATACATGTGAGGATAATTTGGGGTAGAATTAAGAGGACTCAAGAATGAAGTGGTGAGAGAAACAGAGGAGATCTGAGGATTTTTATTTTGGGCGAATGGGAGAGTGGTAAAACCATTAAGAAAGGCAGAAGGGATGCAAAATTTTCTAGGAGATAGAAATAGGCTGTGAAAGGTTGGGATATAATGCAAGCCTCTTCCTCAACTAAAAAAAAATCTATGTGCACCCATTAATTTTGACATCTGAATCTAAAACCAAACAAAAATTGAAGGACAGTGGAAGATGGAGGAGGAGGAGGAGGGACGAGGAGGAAAAGGAGAAAAAAATTAATGTACATTAAATGTTATATTTGAGGGAGTGCTGGGCAGATGCTAAGTTTGTAACAACACACTCTTTCATTTATGCAGAGATCTCTCCCAACAGAACAGCCAGAAACTTGTTTGGAAAGACCCATACAAGGCTGCAAGCACCCCAACTACATCCTTTCCAAGATGCTAATGCTTTCTACTTTCATCCAAGACTCCCAAAGCCTGTGTGTTCAGTGGGCAAAGAATGAGGCGGAGGGGATACTCTCATCAGAGACCACATGGTCAGCCAACCATGCAGAAGGGAGTAGCTGAGGCTACCAGCCCAGAAATGGTATACTCTACATAAAACCATATTTCCTTCCCTTATCCCTCCCAAATACTCAGGCTGGCATAGGGAGTTTTTGACAATGAGAATGAAGCTGTCCTATGTTGTATCTATGAGTTTTGTTGCCGTATTTTCTAAGTCAGAACTCCAGATGCATGACAAACACAGTTGTACTAATGGCAACTAAAGGACAGGCTATTTTAAAGACTCTCTGGAAAATCTAGTGTATGTGGTTGCCATGGTAAACACAAATTACTTAAAAGACGGATTCTACAAATATTTATATGATACCTACTAGGTGCCAGGCATGGTTTTAGGTGCTGGCCATAGAATAGTGAACAAAATATACAACATGTTATATAATGGGAATGGGCAGTGTGTTGGGATTTAGGATTTGGTCTATTAATTTAAAGATATGATGCAAAAAGAGCATGACCAGGTATGTAATGATACTGCAGATCTTTAACTTCTCTTTGAATCCCCAAAATTCCAAAGGACCAATTTTAACTGTGCCTGACTAATCAGTGATATAGTCTCTGACCACTAGTGGGAAATCATCTCTCCCTTCTCTGACTCCCCTGCACTTCCTTTGGTGGTCTGAAAAGCAACAGATCATTCTATCATGTGTTATCATTATGTATATGTCTCTTTTTTAAAAAAAAGATTTTATTTATTTATTTGACAGACAGAGATCACAAGTAGGCAGAGAGGCAGGTGGGGGGGGCAGGCTCCCTGCTGAGCAGAGACCAATGCGGGGCTCCATCCCAGGACCCCGAGATCATGACCTGAGTGGAAGGCAGAGGCCTCAACCCACTGAGTCACCCAGGCGCCTCATATAATTATGTATATGTCTTAACAGTGTTTGTAGACTCCTCCAAAGCAGCCTGCTTTTGCTTGTATTTCCAGGTCCCTTTCCTGGTACTGTTTTTTTTTTTAAGATTTTTATTTTATTTATTTGACAGACAGAGATCACAAATAGGTAGAGAGGCAGTCAGGAGAGAGGCGGGAAAGCAGGCTCCCCGCTGAGCAGAGAGCCCGATGCGGGGCTCAATCCCAGGACCCTGGGACCATGACCTGAGCCGAAGGCAGAGGCTTTAACCCACTGAGCCACCCAGGCGCCCCCCTGGTACTGTTCTTAATCCTCTCCCTTCTTCTCTTCCATTTACACATATCAATGTCCCTTCCATGCAGAAGTCTTTGCTAGTCCCTATATATGCCAAGCTCTTTCTAGGCCATGCCTTTGCACACAGTCCCTTCTGATGGAATACCCTTTCCCTTCTTTGCTTTGGAGAACCATAATTCCTTTCAGAAGAATCAAAGTTATTTCCACAGTTAAGCAATCCTTGACTTCACTGGGTCCTGTCCTTTGGCTCTTGGAGGGCTCTAGGCATATCTCTGTTAGCTCACTTATCACCGTGTTTTGTTTTTCACTGTTTATAGGTCTATAAGTCCTAGGGCAGAGTCCTTATTTTATCGATCTAGATCTCTAGGGCCTTGTACCTTTGCCTGAAAAGGACTTCAGTGAAAGTTGCTGAATAACTCACTTGCCTTTTGAACTGACAGGGAGACAGCTATATGATTCTAAGGCCCTCCTTTATTCCCTCCCTCCCTGCCTCACATACTCATTTGGCCTTGCTAGAAATTTCCCCAAGTGCTCACTCCTTGGCTTGAAGGCACTGAAACTTATATGAACACCAATGTTATATAATGGATAGAGCACTGGATGAAGAACCTAGAGACCTACAGTCTAGTTCCAACTCACTCCGTAGTTAGTTCTGTGACCTCTGCCAAATCACATCATCTTCCTAAGTCTATGTTTCTTCATTTATAAGGTAGAAGTGGAACTCAATCCAGAATTATATCTATTTTTTTTCCTCTGATAATTTCAGTCAAATGATAGCGGCCTGTCAGAGAACTTTGTTGAAGGTTGTGAAGCTTGGATTAAAAAAGACACTTGGGACGCCTGGGTGGCTCAGTTGGTTAAACGGCTGCCTTCGGCTCAGGTCATGATCCCAGCGTCTTGGGATCGAGTCCCGCATCGGGCTCCTTGCTCAGCAGGGAACCTGCTTCTCCTTCTGCCTCTGCTGCCACTCTGCCTGCCTGTGCTCTCTCTCTCTCTCTCTGACAAATAAATAAATAAATGAAA